ACATCACAATAGTAATGGGGGATTTTAACTATCCTGACATCAACTGGGAAATAAACTTTGCACCAAGTGGAAGATCCAACAGGTTCCTAACAAACTTAGCAGACAACTTTGTTTCCCCAAAAGTAGAGAGGGGAACAAGGGAATCAGCCATATTGGACTTAATTCTCACTAAAAGAAAGGAAATGATAGAAGGTGTTGAAGCTACAGGAGCATTGGGGGAAGTGATCATGCAATATTGGAATTCAACATTATGCAAACACAAATAGTAGAACAAAGTCAAACTAGAGTCTTGGACTTTAAGAGAGCTAATTTCAATAAACTAAGAGAGAGCTTGGGAAGGTTTCCCTGGATGAGAATCCCCAAGGGGAAAACAACTCAAGAAGCTTGGGAAATTTTGAAAAATGAAATTATAAAAGCCCAGTCTAGCACAATATCAATGAAGAAGAAAATATCAGCTCCCAAAAGAAACCACCATGGCTGCATAAAGAACTCTCTGACAAATTGAAAGACAAAAAGGATAAGTATACAAAGTGGAAAGAGGGGGACATAACTAAGGCAGACTATCAGCAAATAGCCCGAGCCTGTAAAGATGAAGTGAGGAAAGCTAAGGCTCACAATGAAGAAAGGCTTCCAACACAAGTAAAAAATAATAAAAAAAGCTTCTTCCAACAGGTTAAAAACAAGAAAAAAGTCAAAGAAACAATTGGTTTCATGGCTGAGAGAAAGGGGCAAGAAGGTGACAAGCAACAGAGAGAAAGCAGAACTATTTAACTCATTTTTTGCATCTGTCTTTACACAAAGGGAAAAAACAGTCCAACCTATCAAAAACAGCACCACAAAAATCAGATTAGGAACACAAGTTGAAATAGGGAAGAAAATGGTAAGTGAGCACCTGTCTACCCTAGACGAGTTCAAATCACCAGGACCGTATAGATTACACCTCAGGGTTCTGAAGGAACAGGCAGATGAGATCTCAGAACTGCTGAACTATGTATTTCAGAGATCCTGAAGCACAAAAGAGCTGATGTGGTTCCCATCTTCAAAAAAGGAAAAAAATAGATCCAGGAAATTACAGACCTATCAGCCTGACCTCAATACCAGGGAAGATTCTGGAAAAGATAATCAAGCAACAAATTAGCGAACACCTAGAAGTAATCAAAGTAATAGCCAAAAGCCAACATAGGTTTGTCAAAAACAGTTCATACCAGACTAATCTTATTGCATTCTTTGACAAAGTGACAAAATTAGTGGACCAGAGGAATGCCGTCAATATAATTTACTTGGACTTCAGTAAGGCATTTGGTAATGTAGATCAGTGTTTTTCAACCACTGTGCTGCAGCACACTAGTGTGCCATGACATAGTGTAAGGTGTGCCGTGGGAAAAACACTTTATATATAGTCAATATAGGCACAGAGTTAAAATTTTTTAACATTTTCTAATGGTGGTGTGCCTCGTGATTTTTTTCATGAAAAAAGTGTGCCTTTGCACAAAAAAGGTTAAAAAACACTGATGTAGATCATAATCTACCACTAGTTAAAGTAGAAAAATGTGAATTAGACAGCATCACAATCGGATAGATTCATAACTGGCTGACCAACCACACTCAACATGTAGTCCTCAATGGAACTGCATCTACATGGAGGGAAGTATGCAGTGGAGTACCCCAAGGCTCTGTTTTAGGCCCAGTACTCTTCAACATCTTCATCAATGATTTGGATGAGGGGATAAATGGGGAACTCATCAAATTTGCAGATGACACCAAGCTGGCAGGAATAGCCAACACTCCAGAAGGCTTAAGATACAAAGAATTTTGACAAACTTGAACATTGAGTACTATCTAACAAAATGAAATTCAATGGTGAAAAAAGTAAGGTTCTACATTTAGGCAAGAAAAACAAAATGCACAGGTACAGTATAGGTGGTACCTTGCTCAATAGTAGTAACTGTGAGAGGGATCTTGGAATCCTAGTGGACAACCATTTAAATATGAGCCAGCAGTGTGCAGCAGCTGCCAAAAAACAGTTCTAGGCTGCATAAACAGAGAGATAGAATAAGATCAGGTGAAGTGTTAATACTACTTTATAAAGCCTTGGTAAAGCCACACTTGGAATACTGCATTCAGTTTTGGTTGCAACGATGTAGAAAATATGTGGAGACTCTAGAAAAGAGTGCAGAGAAGAGCAACAAAGATGATTAGGGGACTGGAGGCTAAAACATATGAAGAATGGTTGTAGGAACTTGGTATGTCTAGTTTAATGAAAAGAAGGACTAGGGGAGACAATATAGCAGTGTTCCAATATCTCAAGGGTTGCCACAAAGAAGAGGGAGTCAAGCTATTCTCCAAAGAAAGAACCTGAGGGTAGAACAAGAAGTAATGGGTGGAAACTAATCAAAGAGAAAAGCAATTTAGAACTGAGGAGAAATTTCCTGTCAGTTAGAACAATGAATCAGTGAAACAGCTTGCCTCCAGAAATTATGAAAGCCCCAATACTGGAAGTCTTTAAGAAGATGTTGGATAGCCATTGTCTAAAAGGGTATAGGGTTTCCTACCTAGGCAGGGGGTTGGACAAGAAGACTTCCAAGGTCCCTTCCAACTCTGCTATTGTATTATTGTACTACTGTATAACAAAGATGAATTGGCTGGAAAATCTAGACATCATATGGGAGAAGGTTAAAGAAAGCTATCTCAAAAACAATCTATATAAATAGGCAATCACCATACTGTGGCAAATCTCTGAAAGTGGAGGCATTGATTTGCCTATAGCTTTGGAAAGAAAAAGATTGGCCTGGGTTTTGAATGCTTCATTAACAAAACAACACTGACAAACTGGAAGGAAGAGTGGAGGACACTGTGACTGATTGGGCAGCCTCAGGAGATGATGTTAGGAGAAAAGGAGAGAAAATTTTCCAGTGTGGCAGACTGGTGAATATCAGAAGACATTTATTGAGATTACACAAATACCAAGATTATTTTTGGATGTGTGTTTGCAAAAGTAAAAATGACAAAAATTATCAATAACCAATTGCACTTTGCATTATTTATTTTTTCTGCATCCTTTCCAAATCCCCCCTGCCAAAAAAAATAGTTCTGCAAACAAGGCTGAACGGCATTTCGTATTGCTAAGTGCATTATCAGGAACCAAAGTGTCACCTCACTTTTGTGCTCGTTAGGGGTTCTTTTGCAAAGAGCTTTAGATGTGTTTTCGTTGATTTTCATTGGGAATGGAGACGAGGGAGGGAGGGAAGGAACCCTCGGAGATCGTATCCGGACCTGCTCTTTGTGTCTAGAGCACCAGAGAAGTTTCAAAAAGCGAGGCCTTGTGGGGGTGGCCGCTTCGTTCTCTCAGGATCCGGAGAGGAGTCCACCATCCGCGCACGATGACATGGCTTGAGACAGGCGGGTGAGTCCAGAAGCAAAGAGTAGAGGGGAAGCGGGAGAGGCGGCGAGAAGATAGGTTTGGGGGGGGGAGGGGACGCCACGTGGGAAATAGGGGAGGCTAGAGATTCCAACTGGGGTCTTTGGGGGACGGGGAGATTTAAGGAATGGGGACCACAGTTTGACACCTGAGGGGGAGAGGAAAAAACTTCTTGCCTTCGCTCTTGAAGGTGAACAGAAGCAGTTGAGAGATATTTTGAGGTTTCATTGAGGGGTGCCCCTCCCCGCTCATTTTAAAGTACTTACGGAAAGGCCGGGAAATGGCGAAGCAGAGGCAAAAGGCGGGATAAAGGAATTTCGTTCCATAGAATCGCTCGATGTCAGATTAAATAAAATGTCATAGGGCGGAGGCGATGCTGGAAGGAAATATTACTTAAGTAGCCAGAACTTAAAAATAAAAACAAAAACAAGCAAGGTTCAGTTGTTTGAAATCAAAGAAGGGCAAAAGTATTTTAAATCTTTAAGAAGATGTTGGATAATCATTTATCTGAAACGGTATAGGTTTTCCTGCCTAGGCAGGGGGTTGGACTAGAAGACCTCCAAGGTCCCTTCCAACTCTGCTATTGTATTATTTGAAGTAGGAAAAGGGCTTGTTGCTATCTGGGTTATATTCCGCCTCTGGGCCTGCGACAAGTGCCCCAGCACATGATAATACTGATGCAGTAATGTTAACTATAGAACGGTAAATTGTACAAATAAAACAAAATCGAGAGCTGATAAGGACAATTTAGATGGGTATTGCTGTGGAGGGAGGGAGAAGGGAAGAGTGGGGTGAAGTTTCTACCCACGAGGAAGACAGAATAGAAGATATAAAGGCCCGTGATTCCAGGCGATCTGAACAGAGTGTATTTTAAGTGGAAAGGAAGTGGAGAAGTCAGCGAAGAGTTGAGTCCTGTTGAATCAAATCCAGGTTTTTAAGTTTTGGCCACCTTTTTTCTGCAGGCAACTGGCTTATATGGAGCCATATCATTAGTCCAGCCAGCTCATTTCTTTCATTGCACCGTTATTGCTTTAGTAACAAAAGTGAGTTATGCTGCTTCTAAATGTAGAAATCTGATTTCATCTGTAAACTTTTATGAGCAATTTTAGCCAGCTATGACTTTATTCCTAATAAAGTTTAGAACCTATTTATAAGCTTTAACTTGCACAGGCTATTATTTAGTTTTTTTTCCTTGTCTGTTAGTACTTCTGCATTTGGAGGGGCAAGTTAAGCAGTATCTTGTGTGATGAACCAACCTTTTCTAAATATAAACAAGGGCAATCTAGGTGCAAATGGTAACATACATTATCCCAATGATGATAATTATGGGTGCAAATGGTAGCATATATTATCCCAATGACGATAATCATGATTATTAATATTATAATTATTACTACCAGTCTTGTATACATGCCATTTTGCAGAATAATACAGTCAAGAAAAAAGTTAACAGTTTTGTGTCAATGAACATGTTATCTGTTTACAGTGTTTTTAACACTGACCAAAGAATGCTTCCGGCAACCCCTAAAGTAGGATATAAGAGTTTTATTCCCTGCAATTGGTATGCTAAATAATGTTTTTAATACAGGATTTCTAATACTGATAGTTTTATTCTTCTTGAATATGGTTACTTTTCTCAAGTTGGTAGCCATTGTTTTATCTGCTGATACTGGATTCCATAGTTTAGTTACATGTTATGTGAAGAAGTACGTTATTTACTCAGTCTTAAAATTCTGATCCTTTAGCTTCCATTTTCTTGCATGATAAAATAGGGTAGAAAAATATTTTGACAGCCCCCTTTCCATCATCATGCAACATTTTTATTTTATGCATTTCTGCAGTGTTAGGCTATTTCAATTGTCATTTTATACAGATGCTCTATTTAAAATCTTAAGGTTATATTGAAATTTGTACAAAAACTTTATGAAACTGGTATTTTTCTTTATAATAGTTATAGAGAAACATTGCCTTTTTCATACATATTTTCAGATCAATGCAGGCAGGGGGTTCAATAATAAAGTAGCAGCCTCTTACCATTTACAGACTATCGGTCAATATTAGGAGTGATCATTAGGATTATGTTAACATTGGCAAGATGGCAAGCATCATTGCAATCCCACTTTTTTCATAATGCATGCAAAGTCAATACATGTATAATACTCCATCTGCCATTTTCAAATTTTGACACACCCATGTTGTTGATGATATTGAAATATAAATGGTTTATTTTAATTAATAAATGTCAAAGTGATCTGGTTTACTGCCAAAATTATATGCTGTTAAGATAGGTATCCTTTTGTTGCTGAAGGTGAATGCAAATGACAATGTACCTGCCTCATATTTCACCCCCACAATAGCAATCTTGTACAATTGGTGAGGTGAGAGAGTGATTAGCCCACATGAATCTCCATGGTAGACTATAACCTATAACTCCCCATAATAAGTGCAAATTAGTAAATACTTTTATCAAGTGCTAAGCTCAGTGATTAACATATAATGGTCAAACATCTATAATCTAGATTTGATTGTTTATTAATTTATTTATTAGATTTATATCTTCATATTCTGTTCTTAGGAACTCAAGGTTGCATATCTAGCCTTTTTACCACTTTTTCCTGCAGCAACAACCTGGTGGATAGATTGAGCTGAGAAATTTATAATAACTCTCAAAAGTTATCCAGTGAGTTTCCATGGCTCACAGACTGGGTATTCCTGCTTCTACACCCAACATTGTATTGCACTGACTGACAATGGTAAGCCATGATTTAAACCACTAAGAAAGATTCATTTTAATGATTTAAATCATGACTTATTCACTAGTCTGGAATATTCTTCTATAAAAATGCCTTCTTATTCAGTATAAGATCAGAAGATATTAGTCAGTACAAAGAAAAAGATATAGATTTAATTTTTAAATTGTATGCCATAATATTCCAATTAATTTATAAGTTGTACAAATTAATTTTAATTTAAAAATGGAATCATTTCACAGTTTTTAGTACCAAATAGGGATCGTAAAATTTACAGATTTGCAAATGAAATGTTCTGGAGAACTCTGGAACTTTTCATCCCCCTCCCTCCCCCTTCCCATCATGGTTCTTCAGTTTCCTGACGTAAATTGAATTGTGTTTTGGTCAGGGAGCTGTGTCTTGGACATGACTGCTTAGGTCAGAGTGCTGTGTTTGGGATATACACTTTGTGTCCCAAAAATCATACACGCAGCCTGTTGGATTGGAGGGTTTATTTCCGAAACTGCTGCACTGTCCCTGGAACTGCATGGTCTAAGGAGCACCAGCATGGACAGAGGGGAAACAGAATGGTTCTATTCCTGAATTAGTAAGTTTTGTAAATCTTTAGCAAAGAAATACCTACTTGTAAAGTCATTTAAAGATGAATCCGTGTAAGTTCAATTCAGTTGTAATTATTTACTGTTTGAGGGAATCGTAGCCACTAAGAGAATGATAATCAGTTTTTCAATTGTATGAAACGTGTTTAAATTTTACAGAGGAGATCAAGTGTCAGTTCTGTTAACCTACCTCTATATTATTAAATAGAAGTTATATTCATAATTATTTCACTGTACATTAATTTTGTAAAATGTTTTAAGAAAGTTATGTGATGAAAACAAAGATGCTTAATTTTGATTTTTATCTGACTGATTAGAAATAATTCTAACTTCATTCAGTGAAACCTCTTAACAAAAATGCTTACAATTACAGACACTATTTCAATGGAATTTCTCTCTTAATGTCTCCCATTGTGATTCTCCTGTCTTTGACTGCTAGAGGAGACATTTCCTTTAATTGTAGAGAAGAATGAAAGGGAAAAATATGAACAAAATGTTATATGACCCAAACTATTTTAATGAAATAATCAGTTTGACCTGTAGGTTTTAGGAGGGTGCAAGTCTACATTTGCAAAGTGATTGGACTGTACATTCACATTGTTATTACTCAAAAACCACTGTGAAAACAGAACTTAATGCCCCCCTGGCAAATGGTTGAGATGCATATAATGTCCATGCACTGTAATAAGGGGAGGAGAAAAGGCTGTGCTGTGTTGTCTCAAACAATAGCCGGCTTAGAACGCATCTCGGTGGCTGTCAAAACTTGTATTTTGATGAGCCCAGAAAGCATTTGGCCTTCTCAAGAATGTTTTCCTTGGGCAACATCCCTATGTTCAGCATCTTGTTTTGTGGGCCATTTTTTATCACATATTTCTTGATGACTTCTTGGGGCTGAGTTTCTTTTCCTATCCTCCTGGAAACTGCTGGAGACTGTAAGTAGCTGCAGACTGTAAGTATTTATACAGTGTGGATATGTTTCTTTAAAGGAAAAAAAATAACTAAGTGCAATGTAAATCTTTCAAGCAAATTGTTTGAAATTCTGCTTTCTTTTAAAATAACATTAACATATATGTGATGTATGCTTAATATGAGGAATATATTGGTTTGCACATCTTTAGTTTCTTGTCTTTTGAAATAGTATAATATTGTACAATTAACTTTTACGATTTAAATTCATTACTTGAAAAATGTTTATTTAATTGAAGTGTTTATGGAAGGCATATCAGTAATTCAAGAAGCAGCAGTTATTGAACATAGATAACTATTACAGCAGAACATTATTCCTGATTTTTGGATATTCAAAAAAAGTGACAAATTAAATCTCAGAAAAAATAAATGTATTTTACCATCTTAATTCTGGATGTATTTATTATTAATTGTCATAATGAGTTGTATGCCACTAAAATCATTGGACACAACGTGGCTTAATGGACTAAAGACCTTTTTTAAAATGGCTTAATTTTTTCAAAAACTCATTTCACTGGGCATGTAAGTTGTTGCTTTTAGCTTTTAAAAAAGTTATTTTTTAAAAAAAATAGATATTTTTACAGTCAATATGTTTGGGGGAAAAAGAAGCACTAATATCCATTAAATTATTAATGTTTTATATTGATAGCTTATAAACTTAGGATTCAAACTT